CGGCGGCCCAGAAAAAAGGAAAAAAACCTTGCTATTCCTCTCGCACCGTAGCCCTATACCCTGCGCATCCCTCCTTTTTAGCCTACTTAGGCCCTGAATCGCGCGGCTGCTAAGTCGCGCGACATCTTTTAGGTAGAATAAGTCTAGTCTCAGACTTTCTACGACCGCGCACCCCTGCGGCCATGTCGAGACCTGCGGACGACAGGCCATACCGCCGACTCCCGCTGTCTCGAACGGACGCCGTTGTCGTCACATGTCAACGACGTCAGGCTTTAGGTTTCTCAGTTATAGGGTTGGTCTGAACTACTTTTGGCAACGTCAATCTCATCCAGTTCCTCAATCCCATAAAAAAATCGGACAGCGACCGACCTTGACAAACTCGGGCAGAAACCCTCCCAGGGGTTTCTATCCCGACAACGTGTAAGTGCGCGTATCAGGTCGTGCTTTACACGCGTCCTCGCGCGGCGTTCGCTGGGCAAGACATTCGATCGTCTAATCACCCCGTAATTTTCGACATGCAAGATGCAACAGTTCAATCAAAGATAGGCAAAAACGGAAACAACATTGATGACTATGCAAAAATCCTACCCTTCATACGAGTACATCAAGATGAGAAACAGAGGAAAGGATTGGGTACAAGAATCAGCAAACAGACGTAACATCCCTTCATTCATTCATTCAGCAACACACACACGTCATACATTCGAGATGGAAATCGCAAGGACGAGTGTGAGCAAGAACCAAATCCAGATTTCGAAAAACAGAAACGGGCGAATCGCCCTGAGCCGAAGTCAAAATTTATGTGCACAGGCAAGGAGGGAGAAAAGATAAAAGAAACAGCAAATCCACGTCCATCAACCTCAGCTTCCTCTTCCTCTCTCTCTCTCTCTCCGATGCGGACAACCCGTCGTCGCGCACCAACCCACGAAGCCGTCACCCCGCTTAGTCCTCCCGCACTCGTCAGGTTCGCCCGCGCCCACAGTCCTTCGTGGCCCGCGTCAACCCCGCGCGTTTGGCACCAGCTCGTCGGGTCGCCTGACTCCTGCTCTACTCACCTCTTACTTCGCTCGTGTGCCGACCCTCTCTGATCGCGCAACCCCGAACTTCCAACAGCTGGTTAAGAGAGCTAACCAATCGTGCAGCCGAAATTTATAGCGTGCATGCATGTGCGAAGAACATGGAATTACAAAGACTTAGAAGGAGAGAAGGGAGGGATTGCCTACGTTTGCATGGTCCGATCGCGGCGTGGGGGACGTAGCCTCTCTCCACGCATCGATCCGATCGTGCAGACCGCGGCTAAAAAACGCAGCAAGAGAGAGAAGAAAGGCGGGAAAGACGAAGCGCAAGAAGAAAGATACATTTACAATGGCGCCCGCCCAAAATTACAGTTACACACACGATTAAGGGCGCCGACTAATCAGAATTCCGTTGCAGCCGCATAAAGAAGCGCGTAAGCAAAAGGCGCCGCGTGGCAAAAGAAAGTCCTAATTGCAAAATTCCTAAATTCCTATCTAATGCAAAAAAAGCGAAAAGCACAAGTTTCAGAAAGAAAGTCCGAAATTCCGAAAGCCGTAGAGGCTCGACAAAATCTGAAAAGGAATTCAAAAAGAAAATTCAAAAAGAACGAAGCAAAAATTCCCGCGCGATGTCCGCGCCTAAAAAGTCCAAAACCGAAACAAAAGAAACGACGTCAACATTTATTAATCGCGCGCGTGTTTGCGCGCCAGTCATTTAATCGACCAATCAATTGCCCGTCCCGGGACACACCCAGTTCCGAACCCGGCCATCCGAAAAGAATCAACGCAAAAGACGAAGAAGCGAGGGTACTGATGCAATTTCCCATCCATCCCAATCTCCCGTAATTGGCCCAACCTTCCCAGCTTAGGACCCCTCATTGCAATCGCGCAGAAAGTCGCGCGCTACAGAAAGTGGTTCGTCACAACGTTGAAGCTTGAACACTGTCTTATGTCTCTTGTAGTCAATGCTCATAGGGCTGCCGCTCGAGTGAAAGAAGGAATTGGGTCGAATTCCAGCACTTACCGTTTTTAGAAGAGAAGGTCGTGAATCGAGGTCACCTTGTGCTCTGCACTCGAGTAGTGCAGTGTCTTTTGTCGAGGATAGTAGTGCTCTCCTTTGTCTTCCCTCCGCTTACCTTGGCCGCTTTCCTCTCAACGTTGTCCTCCCCTCTTTAATTCTTCATCTCTTTCTCCTCTTTAGCTCCCTTTCTTGCCGTACTCGTCTTTCTCCTCTCCTCTTCCTCCTCCCCCTCCTCCTCTTTGAGCTCCCAACCCTTACCTTTCTGCGATTCGATCCTCCTTTTCGATTCTCCTTTTCTTCCACTCCTGTCTTTTCCTTTTGCGCCCCCGCTAGAATGGTATTACGCTTCCGGGCCTTCCCACCTTCCAAGGCTATGCCACCCCCTGGGGCGTGGCTGGCGATGGCTTTCAACTCCCGCTTCGTTCCCCCTTCCCAGTTCGGATCGTACTTCCTGTTCAGATCGCTTTTCGCCCCTGGCGCTTACACGCCGGGCAATGCTTCGCACTTCTGCGCCTTGTCTCACACACACACACACGTAGATTTTCCGTCTTTTGTGTCTTTTTTCCCACCAGCCACCTCCTTTTCCTTTCTGCTCGTTTTTTCAAAGACACTCATCGCCGGAAAAAAAAAACAAAGCAGCCCCTACTCACCCTTCCGCGCCTTGTAGCAGGGCCAGTACCCCGGCCACACCGCATTCCCCTTGTCGGTCCTCAGGGCCCTTCCTCGCATTAGCGCTGCAGTTACCGCGAACGCTACCGTGGGCGCGAGTGCAAACTCGACTTTTTCACTCTGAAATTCCTCCGCAGCAGTTTTTAGAAATTAGAATACGGAAAAATGTTGGTGACCTCCCCACTTCTGGATGTTGCCACGAAAAGAAGCTTGGTGCATGAATAGGACTGAAAAGTGTCCTGCCTGGATTGTGACAGGGGCTCTGGAACAGAAAAGTGACCTGCCTGGATTGTGACAGTCGTCACCGGGACCTATACTCGGTTCCTATGCTCTGGATCAGGAGCACTGTTTTTTTGGGACGTGCCTCTGGTTCGTGAGATATGGTTAACTGAGGTCTGGATTTTCAGCGATTTGTTATGTCGTCATTTATAAGAAAACAAGTTAAACAACCCAAAGGCCTTTTGAAGCCACCTTGCCACCAATCCATAGAGTGGAGACCATATTAACTAACAGGAAACGAAAAGAAAAAAGAAGGGAAAAAATTACGATAAAACTGTAAGGCAAAAGTGCACTTTCATGTAACAGGTACTTCCGCTAGTCCAAAGGACACCAAATTTGGCACACAGCACCCTTGACCCTTCACCAAAACAGGCAAAAAAAACTTCAAAACTGACAAAAACTTCAAAGAGTTAAAAAGTAAATCCTACCTCAAGGGAGCAATCAATGCTGGTCAGGGGTCCTTCAGCCATATGGAAGGAAGCATGAGTGTGTTTTCTCATATTGTATTCAATCTTGACTTCCCGGGGGAAAGGAACCGGACTGACGCTCCCCAGAATGGAAAAGGAGCCAGGCCCATAAGGACCTGTTTTGTTATTAAAAAAAAAAAAAAAGGCCCCCAAGCCCTAATTTCAGTTTGTGATCTGTTAACCAGGGGCTGAAACTGGGGGTCCCAGTTCACAACATGTGTGATTCATGGCCCTGAAACTGGGCCACTTCAGAAAAACTGCCTGCGTTCTCCGCTTTCTGAGATGTTGCACTCTCTATGTGCTCAGGTTCTGGCCTCCTCCAGAGGGGATCTTCTGTCAAGTGCCTGCTGTAGTTCTTTTTTCTCCTTGACTCTGATAAGACTTTTTGTCTCATGGGTCATGGCCTACTTACTGATTACATGAATTTTGTCACTATTGGCATGTTTAGCTGACCTGCTGATTGCTCTTTTGTGTTTTCAGGAGTTGTGGTCGAAGGGAATGTGGCGTATTGGACCTACGACAGCTCGAACTTTGTCCTTGACAGTGGCACAGAGAATATGTTTCAAGACAATCTCGGGGTTGTTGCCCACTTGGAGCTTGGAATTGGGAGCACCACTCCTGGTCTAAACCCAGAACTACTGAAGAATAGGGCAAGCATACCTTCAAATTTTGTGATAAGGGACCCAACCAACATAGTGATGGGCAATGTTGCCGCCGGTTCGTATCGGGTTGGATTCCTTTTGAGTCCGGAATCGTGCAGTGTCCCGTATGCAAGAGCACTCATAAGAGATAATGTTGCCCACAGCAATCTTGTTGGAGTTCACTTTGCGGCTTCGAGCCTGGAATGTGTTGTCGTGCGGAGTTTCCTTATCTACCGGGTGAGTGTCCACTCTCTGACAGTGCGGAGTTTCCTTATCTACCGGGTGAGTGTCCACTCTCTGACATCGCCAGTGGCGACTGACAGTGATAACAAGCCAAACAGAATACCTTAATGTTCCTCTTCTCGTTTTTTCTCAACTTCGCTGTTCCCATAGGCAACTTAGGGCATACTCACACGAGGACCAAAAGACACAAAATCCCAAAATTTGAGTCGTTTTTCGGGTCACACTGGAGAGGCTCGGTACCCAAATGCTTCAAACGGTGACCCTTCTGTCAGCGGCCTGCGGGGCCGCGGGCGGACCCTTTTTGAGACCACCTCCGGAGGTGGTCTCAAATTACCTTTCGTTTTTTTCTTTTTTATGTTCGCGAATTGAAGAAAATCGTAGACAAAGAAGACAGCCCCCCAAACAACTGGACGGGCGGGAATTGGGGCATTTGGTTCTTTTGCAGCCCGTCGCATAGTCACACGCAGCGCACGCAAACTACAGAGCTCTGTATGCTACATCGACGGTGGTTTGTCGTGTGTTGCAGAGGTGTAGCACATCCTCCGCCATTTCCATCTTAACGCTTCTGGCGGAGGGTGCGCCCACCTCCACCCCTCTCCCCACACCTCCGCCTCTCTCCCGACCTGTCCGCCTGTCTCCGCCTGTCTCCGCCCCACCCCATCTGGACTCCATTCCGCAAATCTCCGCCTCCAGTTCCCCGCGCTTCGGACGTGTTTTCCTGTTCGGAATGCCTGTGAACTGTATGTGGAGAGTTTTGCTGGTCTGATGCTTTCCCCATGCCTATTCCACCAGTTTGTATCGGCCCAGGGAAACAGTGTGGATACATGGAACGATTTGCATGTATCTGCACTGTGCACGTGGGCTGATGTGAAAGGGGTGATTCATAGTCGGGAATGCGTTCTGATGCATTTCCCACGCTTAAACACCCGGTTCGCATCGGCCCAGGCGAACAACGCAGATACATGCGAATGGTTCCATGTATCCACACTGTTTCCCTGGGCCGATACGGGTGGATTCGACATGGGCACACCGACGGGCCATCCAGGGAGCGGCATCAAATTCACCGCCGCGTGGAGCTGAGCGCCGACTAAACTCTCTACCTCTGTTACACAGAAAGTGCAGCCCCGTGAAGACTGTATCTAACCCGACAAACAGGTTGTATACATTAGATATTGAAGGTCGGAGGGGGAAAAACGGCTGGTTTCCTTTTTTCTTTTTTCCCTGTTCGTGATAGCGTTCATGTACCTTGCTTCAAGGTTTCGATGTGCTGTGTTGTCGAGCCGTTGCAACAGTATCATGGGAACACTACATAGGTAGGCTTGCATTACCTGTCTACGACGACGGTGAGAGACGATGAGATGGGAAGTAGAGGACACTGTATGAGGAAACAAAAGAGCAAACGCGCGACTATGACGTGAAGTGTTCAGTGTTGGCGTGAAATGCTGGTGAAATTGACGTGGCACACACACAGAGAGAGAGAGAGAGAGAGAGAGAGAGAGAGAGAGAGAGAGAGAG